TGGGGGTCACAGGGGCTGGGGGGTCACAGGGAGACCCTGGAGGGGTCACAGAGAGACCCTGGGGGGGTCACAGGAGTTGGGGACCAAGATCCCCCATTGATGGGGGGTTTAACAGGCCCGGGGGCAGCAGGGCTTGGCCAGACTCCCGAGGGTCTCAGGACTCTGAGGGTCACAATCCCCGGGGGTCACAGCCCCAGGGGTCTCAGGGGTTCCCTGGGCTGCCCTCCTCACCCCATGCCAGGGCTCTCTGGCCTTGATCCCACCCTGTTCAGCCCCCTGTCTGCATTGCCAGATGGAAAATCCCTTTTTATTCCATTCTATCTTTTCCATGCCTGCATTTTTTTTTCTGCCCACCCCAAATTCAACAGTGTCTCTAAAAAGGCACCACGGTGGTCCAAACCAGCAAACATTTTATTAAAAAAATAATTTATTGCATCTTATATACAAACCACGTGAATGTACACATAAAATACTGACACCTCACCTGCTGGAGGCAGGAGGAGCGAGTTTTCCAGGTGTGCACCTGGCTCTGTCTCCAGGGAGGGAGGTTTGGGTCTCCCACTAAACCAGCTCTGCTTGGGTTTAACTTTTCACACAGACAGGAAAGCCCAGAGCCCCACAAGAGGTGCAGGAGGTTTAGGCGCTGCCAAGTGCTCTTAATCCTGTTGCATTTCATGGAATTACGGAGGAAAGAGAGAATCTCAGGAAAAGAGGGGTGAGTCTGTCCACCCTGTAGGATTTAACACTCTGGCTTTTTCCCTGAAGAAATGTCCTGAGAATTTCTAAGAGTCCAAGCACAGAAGCCAGACCCAGAGCTAATTCTATAATCATCCCTCAGTCAATGATCTCACTGAGGATCCCACCATGGCATCAAGCTGAGCACACCCCTCACTGCTCGGAGCTCACAGCAAGATGAGCAAAAACCGGGAGCAGGGCAGGAAACCCTTTGCTCACTCACACTGTCCGGGCTGGAGAGAAGCTCAGGGGGAGCAGGAGCTGCTGTGAGCCTGCTGAGCCTCAGCTGCCCCCGCAGGGCTGCTCCAGCCTGGGCACACACAGA